TCTACGCTGCATCTATCGCACTCTCTACTCATCCATATCTTGGCTCAATGTCATGACCATTTAAATGAGACCGGAAGTGAGAGAGGACACAGGTGAATGGCACGGCGAAAACCGAACCAAGGCACACCAACACACCTCCCTGGTCCACGGCAATCCTTTCAACAGGATTCTAACTAACAAAATTGCGCGGGGTGCAGCAGGAATACTAATTAGTGAAACATAAGCCGACAACTGGGCTTGCCATCACATTCAGAATGTTGACGTTTGTCATGGCTGCACATTCTCGTTAATGCCTGCCCGCGTGGTCCGCTTTGTTGGCACACCATATTGCTGCAATGCATCCGGCAGTATACTCTCAGTTTCTAGTTTGGGGGCATTTGGAGGACTCTTTCGGGGAACCGGGAGGGGGCACAGTGAGTAATCTACGCAGTCCACATCATGCTGTTTCATTCTATCAAAGACGACGGACAGAAACGCCGATGAATTGATAATATATATATCGTTCATCCAATGATAGGGTATAGAGGGGAAGCTGGCATCATTTCCTTTCAAGAACATGTGGAAATCTGCAAGAAATCTACTATACTAAGGCTGCAAAATGCAATTAATTATACATGTTGAGTACTAAACGAAGAGATGGAGTATAGATGTAGATGTGGTTTAAGCAAAACTCTCAGGATTTAGTCACAATTATGCAAATCCCACTGTTTCACATAGGTTAAACGATGGTGAACAGAGGGGTTGATTTTCCTGGAAACCTACTACAGAAATAAGCAAGCACTGTCGTTTGAGAGTGCATAGAAGTACATGACGGAGTGCAGGGAGGCTAAACTGCTCCAAATGGCCATCTTAGTCGCCACTCAACTTACCCAATCAAACTGACATAGGTCAACTAAATTACTTGTATTAGATGACAAATGTGGGTCTGCTATATCACAGCACAAAAATGTGGTCCTTTAGAACCATTGATTACCGTTGATGATGCGGTTGCCCTCATGGATGCGGTGGGAGATTGTATAGGGGTTACGGGTGGGGCGTTTTGGAGGCAACAGGTGGAATTGTCGGGTTTCTCTTCAATTGGAACAGGAGATGTCCAACGAGGTCGGCCTGTGCACGAAATGCTCGTTGGTAGCGGGGGAATGTTTGGAGGGGTCAGGCGTTGACAATGTGGACGGGAGGGTCTTAGGGCTAGCAATTCGCTTTTTTGGCTTTGGCAGTAGCGACGCGGTTGATTTTGTAGGTTGTTGCTCCTGCCTTCGCTGCTCCTCTCCCGATAGATCGATCCAATACGAGGTCCTCCCAGGCTGCTGAGTTAATTTGTACGTGATTAAGAGATCTTTAGGTGGTCGTGCAGCATCGCTCTTGTCAGCGAAAACCTGCAGCTATGAACATCGCCGTGGAATAGTCGTTTGGATAGGCGTTCGTCCTTCATCCTCGCGAGACTGCTGTTCCAGTACAGTTTAATTTGCCTTAACAGGGCCTGTATGCGGAACATTCCAAGTGATTCACGGACCGCCGTATCTGGGTGTCCTATCTTGACATCCCAGTTACAGTATTTTTCTGAGACAGTTGTGCTGGAATTTGTTACGTTTCCTGGCTTGATTTGTATTGACTATTCAAGTTTCTGCGCCATGCAACAGCGAGGCCAAAAGGACAGCTTCGTGTGTCTTCGGTTTGGTGTTGAGGTGAAGGCTATGCCGATTGCACACGGAGTCTTGGAGGCGCTCGAGGGCTTGGTTGGCTTTCCGGACCCCGTTAACTACTTCTTCGTCGTATTTGGTCCTGTGTGAGTTCAGCTCGAATGAGAGATCCGTTGATCAAGAATTACAAATTCTCATTCTACAAGTTACAAACCCATGACCGATTCCGATTCTTGATAGAACTCAAGGCTCCAGAAGCAGCATCGTCAGCAGCAATATAGTACTAGTTCAACGTCGAAGACTAGCAAGCATAAAAATAGATCCTAGGCGACGTCAACTGGCACTTGTTGCGTAGTCATTTTGGGTAGTTACAGTTACTAAAAATGACTCACTAATAGTCAACCGCACTAGTCAGCTCTACACCCTGCTGCCATGGGTGGCTTAACGAAGATGTATACATCACAGTGTCTACACACAAAATCATCTTTAACAGGCGAACCGAAGCAGACGAGAATGCCCGGCTGTGCGCGTCTACGCCTTCGCATATGGTCTTTGTCTCCGAAATAATCACCACACTCAATCTGACTCACTAATAGTCAACCGCACTAGTCAACCCTATACCTGCTGCCAAGTATCGTTCCACGAAGTTTTGTACAGCATGGCGTCTACACCCACGGAATCATCTTTAACCGGCTAACGAAAGCAGGCGAGAATGCTCGGTCTGTATGTGTCTGCGCCTTCACAGTTTGTCGTTGTCTCTGAATTAATCAGCACACTCAATCGCCTTTCCGAGCAAAAAGGCCATGCGGAGTGTGCGACGTGCAATCTGTAGGGGAACCACGCGAACTCGAGGCGTCATCGTTCAAAGCAAAATTTGTATCCTATGAAGTATTATTCGATGTTTGTCTGAGATGAATGTGCACTGCAGTGCAAGTGCGGTGGTCGAGCAGGTGCCCAGAAAATTGCGCCAAAACACCGTGTCGGCATCCTGCCTACAGCTTGTGGACCTAAAAACTGGTCAAAATAACATGCAAGACGATCGCCACTGTCCATTTTGCCCTACTTTCCCGCAGCTGGGAGTAGAACACTGCCTGATCTGACAGCCAGGATTGTTCGTTATATCCCTGACAAATGAAGCCATGCTGAAAGGTGGCGAATTCTGTCTACCAGTAAAATTTCCTTGAAGATAGTGGATCTTGCTGCACCCATTGGTACCGGCCTCTTCATACTCTGACAATTGGAGTAGATACCTCATGTGTACATTGTTGTCCGAAAAGTACCTCATGGTCATAGCTACCTGTCGTCACAGTCGAATTTGTCATCAAAAATAACGCTGTGGGACGGTTATTACGGCTGCCAATATGCGTTGAAGATTGCCCCATGACCTTGAAGCCGCCACTCTGCGAGAGCGAATTCGTCACCGTCGTCAGCAGCCCCGCCACTCTTCAACCCACTTACCACGCTTCTAGTCACTATACCGGATGCAAAAAATCGTCAGTGCCGTCAGTGCTCGCTGCCTGCGATGGGAATGCGAGGAGGGTCGCAGTCAGCCCTAGTAGCGTTGTTTGCCTTATTTCGAAATTACTGCGAATGAGGTTTGCTTCATATATCTCCCATGGCTACCTGTCTCCCCCTTAAGCGCATACGCATTTGCTATCTGCTTATTCACACGGTTGTACACAGACGACTCCTGCTTAACGTCCCGCCTGGTTCAACAGCTCGAAAAGTCACTCGTAAAACTCGAATTTTACCGACGAGCCCTCTATCTTCATCGCATTATCTCGGAATGCACATTATCTCTATTATCCACCATGTATATATGTATATATGGCAAAGGCAGTATACCGTACTCGCGACATATGTGCCAACTAAAAGCCCAGACACGTGTTTCGCCGATATTCTGCTGCCCGTCACAGATGTGACGGGTTCGTTTCCCTAGTGGGTCCCACATCGTTCCCCATGGGGTTTCTGGTGATATGAACTTCAGAGAGGAATCAAGCGAAACTTTTTTAAAAATTATTCAGCGCAAGAAATGGAGTTAAGTCTCCGGTACATGACAGTTCGACGATCGGTTTCGATGATGTCCACCGTGTGCCCCACAGTTTCAGCAGCAATGAGAGCAGGGACGGTGACTTACGCAGGGGTTTATAGTGCCGGTAGACTTGCGTAGCATCTACCTACGCTCTCTCCTCCTCCCTCGCCCGGTGTCAAGATACAGTAAAGAAGACCGGAAACGAGGGAGGCCGCAGATGGATGGCTCGGACGGATTCTCACCTTGGCGTTCAACCACACCCCCTGGTCCACACAACAAATAACCAGGTTTTCAACCAACACAACAGAGATTTGGAGACTGGCGCGGCCGAAGCCGCACCTGGGCGTGTCGCCAAAGCTTGGCTCGGATCCAACACTCTGATGGGAGTGCCCTTAAGGCTACATTAAAAATGAGCCATTGCAGCCTGACTCTCAGACCGCCTCCAGCAAAGAAGGAGGTCCAAGTTACCCCGTCAGTTGGCAACCTTCCAAGCCACGGCTTTTAGCGCACCGTGATAGCTTCAAGCGCGTCTGATTGTTTATAGTGAAGAGAAAGTGCGCTCTCCCTTCACACTCCCACACCCTAGCCACTGTCCGAGCCGGTCAGAAGACTGGAGTGGGGAAATGGGCGCGGTGGCTGTCATGGTCGACTGACCATGACTGCGCACGCTACGGCACGACCTGGCCCCCCATACACACACAACACCAGGATTTCACACGACGGGGGTTGAACGGCGTGTCTCTCACTTGCGTGAGAGTGCCGTGGAAGGTGCTGTTTCAGCTTGTTCCCAGCCCACCAGTCCGCCACTCCACACAACACACACACACACACACACAACGCGACGAACTGCGTGAGCCGAGAGCGGGCGTCAATCAGCAACCTTCCTATCCACGACGCTTGACGTGTCGGGATAGTCTCGGACTCAAGTCACCCGTGCAGCTGAAGCCGCATGGGGACCGTGTCGAGATGCGGACTTCCCACTTGCGTGGGAGGTGGCGGTTGGGTGCATGAGGTGTGTGAATGTTGATTTCTGGTGGGGTGATGGTGGTAGTGGAGGAGGTAGGGAGTGAATGAATGTGTGGTGTGGCCGGCGGTTGTCTACCGCAGGTCGTCGTGGATGCGTATGTGGCCGAATAGGCCCATGCGATGCCTGAAAGTGCGAGGGCTGTGTGGGCAGTTGAGACGAGCTTGGTGGGTATAGGTGGGTGCTCCAGGCACTGGTTCGCCAGTCTCTGTGTGATGGATTCGCAAGTGACCGACCAGGCCGATGCGTGGGGTAAATGTGCGTGGGCAGTGTGGACATGACAAGTCGGCGGTGTCAGTGTCGGCTACAGAGAATGCGGTGGTGGTGGTGGTGGTGGCGCGGACGGATGGAGCGAGGGTGGGGATGTGCACGGTAGATGTGTTGTATGTGGTGGGTGTGTCGGCAGTGCGGTCAAGGCCGTTCTCGTGGATGCGCATGTGGCCGAAAAGGCCCATGCGATGCCTGAAGGTGCGAGGTCAGTGTGGGCAGTGGAGGCGAGTGCTTTAAGTGTAGGTTGGCGTTTCAAGCACTGGTTCGCCAGTCTCTGTGCGATGGATTCGCAAGTGACCGACAAGGCCGATGTGTGAGGTGAAGGTACGGTCGCAGTGAGGGCAGGTGTAGTCCTGATCCTCATCGCTGAAGTCGTGGGAGGTGGTGGTAGTGTCGGTTGTTGCGCGCGGGACAGTCGCCTGAGCGGCCGCCGTTGGAGCAGAGGGCGAGGAGGAGGAGGAGGAGGAGGAGAAGGAGGAGGAGGAGGAGGGGGATGATGGAAGTGGTGGGTCAGAAGAATTGTCAGAATTAGTTGGCGGCGAGAGGTGGAGGAAGAGGCGGGCGGGAGGACGATGGTTGGTGCCGTTCGAGAGGCACAGTTAATTCGAAGATGTCCAACAAGTACGATTCGAGCCCGGAATGTCCATTGACATCGAGGACACGTTGGAAGCGGTTGTGCGGCGGCGTTGCGTACGGGGCGAAGTTGTGATTTGCGGGCTTCGCGTTTCGCTTTGGCGGCAGTAATGCTGTTGGCTTCGTAGATCGCAGCGCCTGTCTTCACTGTCCACCTCCAGGTCGGTCGATAGAGTGCGAGCTCCTCCCAGTTGGGGGGATTGATTTGCAGGCATTTCAGGGAGGACTTCAGGTTATCCTTGTAACGGCGAATCTGGCCTCCTTGACGGCTAGAAACCGTCGCGACGTCTCCGTAGAAGAGTCGTTTGGGTAGTCGCTCGTCGTCCATGCGTACCAGCTGGCCGCTCCAGTGCAGCTGAATTTGTCTCAACATGGTGTAGATGCTGACGATTCCCGTCCGTTCCAGCACATCAGTGTGGGGGATTCGATCCTGCCACTTTAGCCTCAGGATGCGACGAAGACAACTGAGGTGGAAGTGGTTCAGACGACGTGCCTGCTTTGCGTACACCGTCTAAGTCTCCGCTCCATACAGTAGCGTCGGCAGGATGACGGCCTTGTACCTCTTCAGCTTTGTGCTCAGTTGGAGACCGTGGCGATTCCAGACTGTGCTTTGGAGGCGACCGAAGGCTTGCCTGGCTTTCGAGATTCTGTTGGCGACTTCGCCGTCGATCTTGGTGTTGCAGGAGAGAGTACTGCCGAGGTATGGAAAGTTCTTCACCACCTGCAGTTGGGTTCCATTGGGGGATGTGGCCGAGTTGGGTGGCGGTTGGTGCATCACCACCGCCTTCTGCGTGTTGATGACCGGCTCAAAGTTCTCGCAGGCGGCGGGGAACAGGTCCATGCTCTGTTGCATCTCCTCTACCGAGAGGTGGTGTTTAGGGCTCAATCGTCGGCGAAGAGGAGTTCGTGAACGGTGGTTGTGGATACGCGCGATTGGAAGTGCATCCGCCGTTGATTCAGAAGATGACCGTCCGTCCTGTAGGCGATGCGGATCCCGGGGCGTTCCTCGCGGTGGGCGTCCATCAGCATGGCAGAGAACATAAAACTGAAGAGGGTAGGCGCCAGTACGCAGCCCTGCTTCACACCATTGTTCACTGCGAATGCCTCTGAGACGGCTCCGTTGTCCGTGACTCGCGCCATCATACCGTCGTGCAGCTGACGCACCATCTGAGTGAATCGCTCCGGACAGCCGAATTTCTGCATGATCTTCCACAGTCCTTCACGATTCACCGTGTCGAAGGCTTTCCTCATGTCCACGAAGGTAGAGTACAGGTGGGTCCGCATCTCCTGACACTTCTCCTGAAGTTGACGGGCAGCGAAGATCATATCCGTGGTCCGACGATGACGATGGAAGCCGCATTGGCTTTCCGGCAGAAGGCCCTGTTCCAGATGGTTATTGAGGCGGTTGAGAAGGATGCGGAGGATGCAGGGAGATGCCGCGGTGATTGTCGCAGATTTGGCGATTCCCTTTGCGTTTGTAGAGATGCACGATGGTTGCGTCTTTGAAATCTTGCGGGAGTTCGCCTTGACGCCACATCTCTTGGAAGAGCGCAGTCAGGTGATCCATCAGTTGGGGACCTCCAAGCTTGTAGACCTCAGCAGGGATTGCGTCCGATCCGGGTGCTTTCCCGCTGGAGAGCTGCTGCACAACCCTGATGGTCTCCTAAAGAGATGGCGGGAGGTCGAGATCCGCGTTGTAGTCCGCGTATCCTTGGATCTCCTCAGTTTTAGGAGCAGTCCAGGCGTCCTGCATCTCGCGCAGTCGTTGCTGAAGTTATCGGCGACTGCGGTAGAAGGCAGCTTTGGTGACATCAGTGGGGTGATCTACGTTGGCTTTGTCTAGGCGGTCCTTCTCAGCAAGCAGATTTCTGATGGCGGCGTCGTTGTCGTCGAACCAGTCCTGGTGTTTGCGCGGAACGCGACCGAGGACGGCGACCGCCGTCGACTGGACCGTGTCTCGCAGTTGACACCAGCGGTGCTCCACGGAGGCGTTCCCGGCAGCGGCGGCGTCGGCAGCGATAGGAAGGTTGACTAGCCTTTGAGCTAGCTCATTGCTGAAATGAAGATGGTGAACGGGCAAAGACAACAAGGCAACATTCAGCTTACCTGGGGTCGCTTACCTTGTGGTCTCCTGCGAGGCTGTAGGCGAGTACGCATCTTCGAGACGACGAGGCGATGGTCGGTCCACCCGTCAGCGCCCGCGATCGCCTTTGTCACCAGCACGTCCCGCTGAACTCGCCTCCGGACGAGGACATAGTCCAGCAGGTGCCACTGGCGGGACCGAGGATGCCTCCACGTGGACTTCTCTAGCTCCGACAGACAGAAGGTGTTCGTCAGGATGAGGCTGTGTTCCGCGCAGGTGCGAAGAAGCAGCAGACAATTGTCGTTTGAGCCGCGGAGACCGTGGGGACCCAGCACTCCTCTCCAGGCAGTGTGGTCTGTGCCGACGCGGACGTTGAAGTCACCAAGGACAATCAACTTGTCCGCCTTCGACACAGTCGCCAAGCGGGCGTGCAGGTCTTCGTAGAATTTGTCTCTGACGGCGTTGGGGTTGGTCATCGTCGGAGCGTAGGCGCTGATGATGGTAGCGAATTTGCCTCCCCAGAGAGGCAGGTGGAGGCTCATCAGGCGATCGTTGATGCCCTGCGGTAAACAGGGCAGTCGTCCCACGTTGTCGTTCCGAATGGCGAAGGCGACACCCGCGTCCCGTCGCTCTGCCCTGGGTCGTCTCTCCAGAAAAGGTGTAGCCGGCACCCACCTCCTCCAGTTGGCTTTGTTCGGAGAATCGAGTCTCGCTGAGTGCGGCGATGTCCACCTTGTAGCGCGCCAGTTCTCGTGCCACTAGCGCCGTCCTCCGTTCCGGTCGGTTTCTCCTCGGATTGTCTAATAGGGAACGAACATTCCAGGCTGCCAGAGTGAGCGGGTTCACCGTGCCGGTCTGGTGTTAACGAGTGGGGCGACGGGAAGGAGATGGAGAAGAAGGTGACGAAGGTAAAGAATAGGCAGAATAATATACAGATGAAGAGGTAGAAGAGGTAGAATGAGGAGAATGAGTATGTTTTTATTGGTATTGTTGATGTTTCGATTTTGATTGTTTCGACCATAATTAGACGTGTGCGTCCCTGGCTAGCCTGGAGACGGCGTGGTACCCAGCAATGCTTAGGCCACCTTTTCTGGGCCCTTCCCCTCGTGGGGGCTGGCAGTGGCATCCCTGAATAGGGCTGCCATGTGCCGTTGTGGCACGGCCGAACTCCACTATGGAACCACGACTTCGGTTTATAGCGGAGAGCGACTCGAAATCGCCGTAAGCCGCGGTCTCCGACGGCGTAGGTGGGTGCGTCAAGGCGATGTCGATGTGGAGATCCATCCCGTCACCGGCTGTCCAGCGGCGTGCAGAGACGAACCACGTCACGACGGTGCCGACGCAAGGTTCCATCCGACCTTCCATCCAGCGGAATCCGCAAACCCTGTGCACACGGCACAGCGCACAGGGCCCCCTCACCTGGTTTAGCCCGCCGGTCGAGACGGTTGCCCGGGGTGTGGCCGCTGAGCAGAGTTCAGCTACGTGGAGCCACAGGTGAGAGTTGAGTGCCAGCACGTGGACGCTAGGCGCAGTCTCACCTGCAAGCAAGTGAGCAACCACCACGACCATTACGTAAACCCACCGCTGACACTCCTACACCCCTCCGGTACATGACTTTTTTAGGGTCAGACCCAAAATTTCCCGAACACCTACGTCCGCATAGAGAACGCTTGGGGATTCGCTGAGAGGCCGAATCTCTCGCAGCTGTATCACTCATCAACAGAATATTGGCGAAACACGTGTATGGGCTTTTAGTAAGTACGTAGATCGGGAGTAGTGTATAATACGTTTACCACGTACATTTCATACTACCCGTAGTAATATGTGTTTTTAAAATGGACATTACATGGTCATTCCATAATAGTTGATTGTCTCCGACTCGAACGTTCATTGAAATTTAGAGTCTGACCCTATAACATCATGTCCCGCAGACTTAACTCCATGTCCTGCATTGAGTAATTTCTGAAATCATTCGCTATATACATATCGTTCATCATCCACAAATTAAGAATAAAAAGAGGCTATTCCATGGGCCACACAGTATTTGTGCTGACGTCTCTGGACTTTCATTGATGCCATCATTATATTGGTGGGATGGTTGTTCCTTTCTAGCCCAGAGTTATAGGCATGCCTGATGCATGAACTCTGACCTGCCTGCTGGCGGGCGATTGGCTTTGGTCTCTTCGTGGCCGACCGGTGGAGCGCTCTTGAGACCTCTGGTTCCTTACCGGTCGTCGTTGTCCCTGCTAACTCCGTGTCCCCCTGGGCCCTCCCCCCTAACCTGATTGGCTGATCAGCTGTCGTTGAACGTCCGAATTGCGGTCGGCTTTTTGGGCGCGTCTGTGGGCCGATGTCTTACGTCGGTCGTCTGACCCCCGGCTGGCTCTCACCCCCTGCTGTGAAAGTGACAACTGTTGAGAGAGCCGCTATGTGTTCGCCAGTGCCGTCGACCCCCTCTGGACTGACTGGCGCCTCGTAGGTAGCGCCTGGTAGTTCGGATGTAGATCAATGGCTCTGTTGATTGTGCCAACTGAGAACCAACTTTCGAGAACTAGTTTGGCCATCTTGTCGCTGGCTCGGCCGATGCCGCTTGCTTTCCGAAAGGCGAGACTGTGTTTCTCCTGTTGTATGTAACCACATACCAGTGACACCTTATCCTCGCGGTTGACTGCAAGCTGGTGCTCATGCAATCTTGTGCAGAGGGGTATGCCCGTTTTACCAACGTACCTCGCAATGAAATTTTGGCAGGGTAGGTTGTAGACCACTGCTGATTGTTTGCGTTGTCGGTAGCTAGTATTTGATTCTCATTATCTGCCGCCTGACAGTGGATTCCGATTTATGGGCCACCCCAATCGCAAAATGGCTCAGGATTCTTGCTGTCGCCTCAGAAACATTCTTCACGTAGGGGATCGTGAGCCAAAACTTCGGCTTCCCACCGTCTAATCGCTGACGGGTAGACTTCCGTAGGCACTCACGTATGAAGGATCGCGTGTAACCATTGGCTGTGAATACGCAATGTAGATAGTTCGCTTCTTCCCTTCTCCCATCGTCGTCACTACAGTGTCTTTGAATTCGTTGGAAAAGAGCTGTGACACAACTGCATTTGTGACCAATAAGGTGGTAACTTCGGAATTGGAGGATGCGTCCAGTATTCGTAGCCTTACGGTATACCGTGGTTCTTATCCTCCCACTAGCCGTCCTTCCAACATTTTCGTCAAGTAATGGCAACTGGTTGTTGTTTTCCTCTTCCATGACAAATTGAATATCGGGGAATATTGGGTTCAACAAGACCTTGAAGGCCTGAGCGTCGTTCCCCTTGATTACGATAAGTCCGTCATCGACGAACCGGGCCCAGCATTTTTGGGAGTATGAACGGAAGACCAGTCGCTCGAGCCTCTGTAGAACAGCCTCGGCAATCAGTCCAGACAGCGGGGAGCCCATCGGTGTTCCCTTCTTTTGTTCGTAAACCCGGTTGTTGAAAGTGAAGAAAGTTCTGAGGCACAATTCCAGGAGTTCGATGGCGTGCGTTCGTTTAAGCCGTTGATCAGTTTCATCGTACTTCTCCTGAAGAAGCTCTTTAATGGTGCTGATGGCAAGGTCGGTTGGGATGGAGGTGAATAAGGAGACCACATCAAACGATACCATCATCTCGTCTGGCTCTATTTCTAGATGTCTGATACTCCTCAAAAACTGCTCAGCCGATTTCACCGTCCATTCGGAATCCCGGTCAGGAAACGGCATCGTTGGTAAAGCCATTTCGACAGTCCAAAGGTCGGGGTGCCGCGTAATGAGACTATGGGGCGTAGAGGTACTCCCGGTTTATGCACTTTTGGCAGACCTTAGAAGCGCGCCATGGCGGCATCGGTGGCTTTTGCGGCCAGTGCTTCCTGCCTCTTGAGGGCTCCTGCCTTCCTTAACTTGTCTATCGCCTTGTTTACACTGTTCACGTGCTTCTTGAACTCTCCAGTCTCCGAAAGCTTGTAGGCAACTTCGTCCTCCAACAGACCTTCCAGTTTCGTCGTGTACTCGGTCTTGTCCATGACAACCGTCGGGCGTCCCTTGTCGGCGGGCAGGGTGACGATATCCCTCATCTTCCGCATTCTCAGAAGTTCTCGGTCTTCTGCTTCGGAAATCACCCTTTGAGGTTTGTGCTAGAGAAGAAGAGTTGACACTTGTTGCCGCATGGAATTTTTGCACTCCTCGTTGGCTTCACACTTCTGAAGGGCCGACTCGAAGGATGCGATGAAATCTTCCGGCCGAGCATCTCTTGTGTTGAACTTAGCGTCATACGACAAGACCTCCAGCTGTTGCTGTGTAAGGCGACGAGACGAGAAGTTGTGAACCAGGACACCGTCAGTAAAGGGCTCCATTTGTGGACGTATTCTTTCGAACTTCTCTAGCAATTGATTGTCGCGCAACGTGCGGTGGCAACGTGCATTGCTGAGTATTGTCGATTCCAGCATTTGCAGATCGTGTGCGGTGACTATCGACCGGCATGCGGAAATATGCTGCTCTATCGCTCGTCGGTAATTACGGATGCGCGAGTGGCAGTCTTGTATCAAGACTCGGATCATCCTCTTCTTGAAATGTGCCATTGTCCGCCGGCAGAGATCGGTCATCACTGGCAGGCTATATCGGAGACATTTTGGCAAGACGTTCTCCTCAAGGCAACGGTGCAGGAACTTCAGCTGTGCGTAGGTGGATGACTCTCGTTTGGCAAAAGTCTCCCATCTGCGTGCTGAGCGAAGGGCTGTGCGCCCATAGGATAAATCAACATGAGTGAAGATTCGAGAGGAGAGAGCCAGCCGGCTGTCAGACGACCGACGCGAGACATCGACCCACCGACGCGCCCAAACAGCCGACCACGATTCCCACATGCGACGGCAGCCGATCGGCCCGTCAAATTATGGGGGGACGGCCACGGAGAGTCCTGAGCCAATCGCCCGCCAGCAAGCAGGTCAAAGTTCGTGTATCAGGCATGCCTATAACACGAGACAGGCGGCGAGACAGAACAACTCTGAGCTAGCAGGAACAAACACCCTACCACTACTCTGATGATGGAATCGAGAAAGATTCCGAAACGTCAGCACCAATACAGTGTGGTCCATGGCATCGCCTCTTTTTCTTCTTCGTCTTCTTTTGGGAATGATGAATGGGATAATCTATCTGGACCAGTCGGTACCCCAGCGTCTCCCATGCGGTTTCGCGTATATGAACTTCAAAGATGAATCAATCGAATATTTTCAAAAAAAGATTCAGTATAAAACATGGAGTCTAGTCTCCGGAACAGGACTTCGTATCGTCAGACCCAAAATTTCCCCGAAACCTAAGTTCGCATAGAGGACGCTGGGGGACACACGGAGAAGCCGAACCTCTCGAAGCTTTATCACTCATCAACAGAATATTGGAGAAACACGCGCCTGCGCTTTTAGTTACTACGCATGTCGGCAGAAGGGTACAATACGTTTTCCATGCACAATTTATACTACCCGTATTACTATTTATTTTTAGAAGGGACAATAAGTGGTCATTACACAGCAGTTGATGGGCTTCGATTCGAGCGTTCATTACAATTTTAGAGTGCGACCTTAAACATCATGCTCAGGAGACTTAAATCCATGTCGTGCATTGAATAATTTCTGAAATCATTTTCTCTCTATATATACATATATACATATATATATATATATATATATATCATTCATCATCCAAAAAATAAGAATAAAATGAGGTTATTCCATGGGCTACACAGTAGTTCTGCTAACGTCTCGGGACCTTCATCGTTTTCATCATTAAATTGATGGGGAAGTTGTTCCTGTCTAGACGAGAGTTGCCCTTTCTCGCCGCATATCTCATAATATAGGCATGC